ACGGGAGTGGCGCCGGGCAGTAGGAGCTCATTCGTGCTCTTGCTGACCTGTTTGCCGAATGGTCTCGCACGCAGCCTGGCCTTGAGCTCGCCGCCCCTCATCTCCAGAACCCAGGTGCACGTGAGTGCCGTAGGTCCGCTCGGATCTCTGATTGCAAGTTCCCACGCGCGTTGCTGTCGGACCGGTCCAGTCGTCGTCGCCAGTCCAGCCCATGACGATTCTGCGCCCGCTGTTCCCCTTCAGCTCCATGTCAATCTCCGCGACCAGCCCCATCGTCGACTCGGCACTGAAGCCAGCCCCAGCTCTCCCCAGCTCGGCGTTGGCCAGCGCTTCGATGGCCCCCGCCAGACTTCGGCTGCCAGGTGGACCTTCACAGTGCCTGCTTCCTCGAGATCTGCTCCAGCTGCCGCGCGTTCCCCCCGCATTCCGGGAGCTGGGGCCTCTTGCTTACCGCGAAGCCTCCGCTCGATCCCCTGCGCCTGACGTTCAACCTGTCCGACGCGATCAGGAGCCTGACCTGGCCCGTGTCCTGCTGGCGGTTGCTCTCGCTGCCCGCCGTGCTCAGCTCCCGAATCAACTGCGGGCACTGGGGCCGCGACCCTCGAGCGCTCCTCGCCCTGCATGGCGATCTGCTTTTCGCGCTCGGCCCGACGCCGCTAGCACGTCCGTGAATAGCACGGAGGTCGCCCTCGCCCATGCTGCCCTCCGTCGGATGCCAATTCTCGCCCTCGTAGACTTCGGCCTTCACCGATGTCCTCTAGGGTTTCCATAGCCTTCATGATCTCAATGTCGCAGCTCTCCTCTAGGGTCAGTTGCTTGACCGTTCTCGCTTGCACTACCCCAATGGCCGTACCGACAAGGTGCGAGTTGCTCTTGCTGCCTCGTCCGGTCCACGTGCCCTTGCACCAAGGCGCGCCCAGCTTGTCGGACAACTCCGAGTGCCCCTTGCAGATGACCGTCTCCCCGAACTCCAGCATCGGAGACACGCAGGGAAACAACCTCAGCTCGTCGTTGGGCGCGCGACCACTGCTCCTCCTCCGCTGGCACCTGTTGCAGCAGAACGCCTGGTGGCGATTCATCCAGGGGATGGCGGGCATGTCCTCGGTGAACTTCATGTTGCAGTGCTTCTCCAGAGCTAGCCGCCCTGTCCTCGCCGGGCCAGCCACCGTCTTGACTCCGGCTTCCACTGGGCCCCGGGGCACGCGACTGCCCCCCTTCGACCAGACGCAGCCGAAGCTGTGCCTCAGCCGACTCCTTTCCAAGCTTCTTGACTCGATCGGCGAGGGCTCCATTCATTAGAGACTCCAGGGCTGGTTCACCATCTAACTGCGCCTCCATGCTCATGTAGCCGAGCTCGTCCAGATACTCGCTGACGGCCGTCCTGGCGCAGCTCTGGTCGCCCTCCGCCTCGGCCGCAACTCCCATGAGGTAGCCCGTTCTACGATCCTTGCCAAGTGCCGCAGTCAGCTTCCGCCCAGCTCCGCCCTCACCCAGGCGTAGAAACCCGCGGTCGAACTGGGCCACTGGAGCAGCCGATGCGTTGGGATCTCGTGCGCGGCGAAGATCTTCTTGACCCCTCCCCATCATGCAACCCTGGCACCAGGGCTCGAAAGACGCGCGCCCCCTCCGGCGGCGTGCTCTGGCAAGGCCCCCATGATGCACGCGCAGGCCTCGGAAGTCCAGGCGCGATGGGCGCCCCCGTCTCATCTCGAGCGCCCTCAGCGGCACCGTGAGGGCCGTCTCGTGAACTAGCCGCTCCACCGTTGTTAGTCTCCTCCTTGGATTCACCGATCTCGATGTCAGCCGACCCGGGCTGCTCGGCGTTGCCGACGACGGCCTCGTCCCTCGCGGGGCCCTGGAGCTTCGTTGGAAGGAGAAAAGCGTCCACATTGCGACGAAGATGGATCGCAACTGTGTCCTCTCTTGCCTTGTCTAAATTATACTACGCACTCTGGCTACCCTTGAACATCTTGGCGCCGTCCGGATCAACGTGAACCGAATATCCTGCATCATTCACCTCTGCAACCGGAAGAGCTCCGCGTCTGACCTCTGCCGGCGTGACGTCGAGCTTCGCGAGGGCCCTCGTCTCCGAATCGCGCGCTTCTCCCGCGAGGGTCCGCTTGTCCCACGTGCGAATGCCTTTTCCAGTGATCGACCGCAGTGACTGGCCATGCTCGCCCGTGCGCGCACGCCCCTCTGCAATATTCCTCGGTGCTGCGTGTGCGTGTGCGCCGCTGTCCACGAGCATCTCGCATTCGTCGTCCTCCTCTCCCGTCCGTGAACGCGAAAATCCAGCCCGCGTCTCTATAATCTTTCTCTGGATGGACAGCTTGGATGCTTCCAGGTAGCCTAGTAGAAACTATCGATGCCGCCCTCTGCGATAGTGTTACTCCTGGGTGGACCGTACTTGCTGCGCCCCATCCAAGCTGTGGCTGGGATGCCGGTTGCATCTCCTGTTGAACTCACGCCGCGGATCGCTGACCACCCCCTTGCTGGTACGCACCTCCTCCATAGTTTCTGCAGTCCGCCATCTTGTGTCCATGCATGCCGCAATAGGGGTTCGAACGCCCACCGTCGAAGAACTTCGCGCCACCCTTCTTCGCCTTGCCACCCTTGTTGCTGCTCTTGTCTCCATTGCTGCCCTTGCCGTCTGAATCTCGACAACCGCTTTCCTTTCTACCCTTAGACTCAGTCTTGCCGCCGCGTCCCTTACTTTTCCCTTTGTTATCGTAGCTGCCCTTGCCGAAAGAGTCCACGTCCATAGCGTTCGGGTCGAACTTATCCTTCATGGCGGCCTTCGCGTCCATCTGACTCATCTGCTGCGCGAAGGCCTCGCAAGCCTGTCTGAACACCGCGTGTGCTCCGAACGCATGCACCATCACCTGCATCCTGAGTGGCTCGGGCGTGTTCTTTTTAATCCGAGCCTGCGCCAGTAAGTCGGATATCAGCTCTCCAAACATCTACTGGTACCTGCTGATGTCCAGCAGAATCTTGGTCAGCTCCTCGACGTCGGTGTCCCACTTGCCTGTCGACCCCGTGATCACGAGCAGCTGTAGTTGCGTCACCTTGTTGAAGCTTGTAGCAACATCTTCTCTCAACACACAATCTCCGCCACTGCTCCAAACCGTCTCCTTGTTCGCAATTCATGACCAAGGTGAACGCAATGCCCGTGAGCAGATGTGGTAGAATGTAACTCATCGTGTGAGCGAGCTGCTTGTTGTCCTCTCCCATCTAGGCGAAAGTGATGATCGCACCGTGCGTAGTAGCTGTCGTAGCTGCTGCCGAGAGTCGAGGGTCAATCGCTCCAAGATAACTCAGTAGCTGGTATCGGAACGTTGGGAACCCATCTCGGTTCCCACTGTACTTGTTCGGTCTGCCGAGCAGGCGTGTGTCCACGAGGCCCGCGCCAGCCATGAGAGGAGAAACCCATCACGTTACCATGCAACTTCTTCGGTATTAACTGATCGGAGTAACTTGCTTTTATGTTGTGTTGCGAAGCTGGGACCCACGGGTGCCCCAATAGGGTGAGGATACTTTTCCTCAGCGGCATGCACTGAGCCAAAACGGCTTTCCACAGTTCAACTGTCATGCGCCAGCCGCGCATGTAACAATACAGCAGCACCGCGCGCTCAACCTCACTCGCGTATCCCATCGAATACCATGATGTCTGGATGTATATTGGAAAACACGCATCAATCGCTTCGAATGGGACATCTTCAAAAACTTGTATGTTGAAGATCTGGCGTCGGATATCTAAAACGGTGTGGGGAGGAGGGCGGCGTTTCGCCCGAGACAGCCTCACACAATGGGGATGTTGGAGGAGTTGTTTTGTCGACGCTGGTTCTCAAAATTGAAGCTTGCGCATGCGATATCTTCAAACAACGGGCATGTTGGATACCGGGCGCCGAATGCCAAACGTGGTGTGGGGGGCCGTTTCGCCTGAGATATCCCCACAACATGGGGATGTTGAAGGAGTTGTTTCACGACGCTGGCTCTTAAACTGAAGCTTTCGCCTGAGACATCCTCAGGTTGACCAAATGCTGGAGATCTGGCATCGGATATCTAAAATGGTGTGGGGGGAGCGTTTCGCCTGAGACATCGTCGTGCAGTGGGAATGTTGGAGGAGTTGCGTTACTGCGCTGGTTCTCCAAAGTGAAGATTTGGCACGAGACATTCCCCAAACATTGATACGTTGAGCTCAGGCGTTGGTTGGGCTCGGTGTTTCAAGGCGCTTCGCTGCAGACGTCCTAATTCGAAAGGATGCGTTAAGCAAGCTTCCGGATTCGACGTACCTTCAAGAGCTTGGCTCTCGCCTGAGATATTCTCACAAATTCAGGCGTCACCACAAAAAGTCTGACACACTAGAATCCGCACAAGATTCGTGGACCCCTCACATTTCAACATACCGCCTCCTCGTCCTGCCCCTCCTCCCCCTCCTCCTACTACTACTGCGACCCCATTCGCGCCATATGAATCCATAACTCCGACTGACGCTGGGCAGCTCTAACAAACGAGCTAAGCATTTCCCACGGGGGGAACAGCCTCGGGGATGGCCTACCAGAGGCCGAACGCACCGAGGGCGGAAAGCCGCCAGAAGACGGCAACGGGCCCACGGGGCCCGAAGCGAGGGAAAGGCCCGAAGCAGATCCCACCCGTCAGAAAGCCCAACCCCCCGCCCGCTGACGGCCCGCGCGGGCCGCGGGGCGCCTCCACTCACACCTACTTCATGCCCGCGAGCTGCTTGGCCCTGGGCCCCCTCGGGCCCTTGTCCACCTTCCTGGAGCCGCCCCAGGCGCAAAGGATCACGCCGAGGGCAAGCAGGAGCACGTGGCGCCCACGGGGGCCGCCGAGGCCACCAGCGGAGCCCGCAGGGGCGCCTCCTCGAACTTGTCGTCCTTCGGGGCGCCGTCCCCATGTCTCCAGCCGGTCCTTGTTCAGCTTCTCCACGTGTTTGCCGCGGCGCCGAGCACGTGCCTTCGAATACTCATTGTCACTCTCACCTCGTACATCGGGCTGATTGCGAAGTCCTTGATCCACTCGCTGGCGTCCTCGCTCTTGCCCTGCTCGCGCATGCTGCGCACTCTCGGCCCACGTACTTCTTACCTCGATGGGGCCTCTGCCACCCAACTCTCGATGTCGTTCGGAGCCCTCGCACACATGTTGAGCTCTGGCGGCCCGCGCTCGCGCTGGTCCTTCTTCACCTGCACGAGGTGCGACTGGTACTGGGCCTGGCACCACGCCCGTGGGTGATCCGCAGGAAGGGGGACCTGCGTCATGGTGTACTTCTCCTTCGCCCTCATGCGCGCCTCGAGCTGGACCAGCATCTTCTTGGCGCCGAAGTCGTCCGACTCCTTGGACTTGTCGCGCTTGGGGTCCTTCTCTCCCTTCTTCAGCGCATCTCCCGTGGTCCGCCACGACCCCCAGCTCGAGAAGATGGCCTTCACGATGTGCGGCCAGATGGGCACTCCGAATGTGTTGCCACAATGCTTGAGGCTCCTCCACAGCAAATTCACGTAGTCGGCATCGTGTCGCTTGCATTTTGACGAACGCCGCTGATCGAGATCTGTCCACACACATCCCACGCACCACAGCAGCACTCATGTGTTCAGACCAGAATACTGCGCCACAAATCGTGCATTGATTACTGGAACAACCTGCTCGGAATAATACCTGTCGGCCATGAGTTAACCGAAACTTCTCACGTGCATCACGTCGCTGTCGAAGTAACTTTCTGACAACTCTCGTCTGCTCGGTGTGGCCCACCACGTAGCCTACAGTGCCCCAGTGATGCTTCCCTGCGCCTGCCGCATTGGCAAACTCTAGGATCTCGCCCCGTAGGAGCGCTCGAAGCATATGGAGGCGCCTTCGTAGTTGTGGTTCACCCGTCTCCAAAAATTCGGGCCGTCGATGACCGAGCTGGAGCATCTTTGTAATCATCATCTCTTTGCTGACCTTTGTCAGCTAGATCAGCTCATATGGCGGATCAATCACGTCGATGAAACATGCTCCCCGTCGTAGATGATCCCCCCCCCGCACTCTGGCTGTGTAGCTGAAGACGCCCCTCCGACTGTGTCAATGTCCTGCACCACATCTTAGCCTTGTGCCACTCTTGCGGTACCATGATGTAGTCGCTCGTCTTCACCACCCCTCTGTTGTAGTACGTGGGAACGCCCGTCGGGAGAGGTGTGTTGATGGCGCACATACCGTGCGCTCGAAACCCAGGTGCTGCCATCTCACTTGTGTAGTTGAAATCATGCACATGGTACATGCCCGTCACCTGTAGGGTCTCGGCAAGCTGACCGTTCAAGTCGCCGCGTAGTACAGTTGACCAGCGTGCGCTTGTGGACCCCGCCAGCGAATATGGCCACCTCATCGGTCTCACCTTCCGCTGCCATGGCTCACGAAGTTCACGGCCGCTGCTCGGCGCGGGCGGAAAATGCATTGTATTCAGCACGAGACGTAAAGACCCTCTCTCCACGCGCACTGCTCCTACTCTGCCGCGAAGGTTTCGTAGTACTGGGGCAAACCCTCTCCACCAACCACATGGGAACTTGTTCTCCTACCGCCCTATCTGAAGGCCACCTGGTGTGTCGACGTGCGTGGTCAAGACCCTCCCCCAATCGATCGAGCTGAACTGGTGGGCCTTGGCGATGGGGCCGAGCAGCACGGCCGACACCGCGCACCTCTGCGTGCCGATGAAGCACAGGATGAAGTTGGCCAGGGCGCGCGTCCCCATCACGCTGAGAGGGTTGTAGGCCGATGGCAACCCCTCACTGGGCCGCCTGAGCCCCGTCGCACGCACGAAAAAACTTGGGCGGGCGCTGGGGACTCCTTCAGAGGTGGCATGGGTGGGGGAACCCCCCCCAATTGAGAGGAAGATGGCCACCTTCCTCCTCCTCCTCCTCCTCCTCCTCCTCCTCCTCCTCCTCCTCCTCCTCGCACGCGGTATATCTGTCCCCAGTTGCGGGATGTCGTTTCAAGCGAAACTGGCTGGATCGTTTCATGCGCGGCATCGGATCGCATCGCGCGCGGCATCCCCAAGCCCAGTAATGCGAGGATGTCGCAGGCGAAATGGTCGGAGCCAGAGATGCGAGGATGTTTCAGGAGAAATCGGACAGACCACCTCTGGCGCAGCGTCTGGGAACCCAGAATTGCGAAGATGTCTCAAGCGAAACGGGTCGGACCATTTCAGATCATGTCGTCTCGGAACTCAGTCTTGTGAAGATGTTGCAGGCGAAACGTACCAGACCACCTCAGCATTTTGAGAATGTTTCGACGCGCGAAACACTGGGGTTGCAACACACGTTCTTACCCACACGTTCTTACCACAACAATGCAATGCCCCCAGGCACAGGCCAGGCAACCCGGGAACACCTCGCAACAGAACCCGCATGACGGCAACAAGCGAGAACCACCCAAATGTCTACAAACATATATATATATATATATACATATATATATATATATATATATATATACACACTCTACATGTCTACATATCTCTCCCACACAAATTCACACACAACTACCTATACATATATATATATATATATATATATAGAGAGAGAGAGAGAGAGAGAGAGAGAGAGAGAGACTCCACATAAACACAGCATTCCGTTCTCTACATGTCTATCATCTGGGACCCTGCGGCCCCCCCGCCCTGAACGGGACCCCCCCGGGATCCCTGGCCCGGCGGGGCGCCCTGGGCGCCCTTGCAGACGGTCCCCTCTGCACTCCCAGGGCTCCTGCGACGGGCCCCCGTCGGCCGGGAGGGCGGCGAGGAGGGCTCATAACCTGGAACCCTGCGACCCTCCCGCCCTGAACGGGACCCGGCCCGGATCCCTGGCCCCGGGGGGCGCCCTGGGCGCCCTCGCAGGCGGTCCCCCCGTGCACTCCAAGGGCTCCGGGGGCCCCCCGCTGGGCCGAGGCAGAAGGGGCCCACGTCGGCCCCGCGAGAGCGCACGGAGGCCCCGCGAGAGCGCACGGAGGCCCCCAGAAGCACCCGCGCCAGACGCCCGACGAGGCCCCAAAGAAGACCCCCAAGAGGCACTCGAGACGCAGAAGGCACCGATCTCGGGGCTCTGCTCGTTGTGGCTTCCTCCTTCTCCTCCTCTGCCCTTCTCTTTCTTGCAACGATGCCTGAACGCACATGTTTCCAACTTCAGTCCGTGCCCCGCACGGCGGCCGAACGCTGTTCGACCGGGCCCTGACGCAACGGAACGTAACGGGTCTGTCTGATTTGGGGAATGCTCTGTCCTCCGGTCTTCCGGGCGTCCGAGACCGCCTAGGAGGCCAGAGGATCGCCCAACATCTAACCAAGAGGGCTTCCAGGCAGTCCAGGAGGAGCCCCAACAGGGGCCCAACAGGGGCCCAAGATGGCCCGAAGAGATCCCCATGACGGCCCAAATGGCCCCAAGACGCCCTCCGATTCATTCCAAATCGTGACTCGCTCGTTCAGGGAAACCGCGGTTGAAGGCCAGGTGGCCTGGTGAAGCCCCCAGAGGCCCCCAGAAGGAACCCGGGATGTCCCCAGAATGCCCCAAAAAGCTGTAAAAAACTGTCTTGGGGCCCCCAAAATGCTCTCCTAGGGTCAGCCTCCGCAAAAAGAGCTCTGAGGATGGGGCGAATTCGCAGGGTAGTGCGAAAATGGGGAAGAGGAAGCGGAACACATGAGGGAAGGACAACGAATCACATCATTACAACGACGATGCCAGAAAAGGCAACAGCGAGTTATCGCTAATTGTTCCGTTTTACCTGAAAGGCCAAAGCGCATGGGGCAAAGCGCAATTGCAGTCTTGTGTCTCTATATGTATACCAAATGTATCGCAACTGCCCCTCTTTCTCTGTATATGGAGATGCGTGTATACACCTACTGATATGGCGATATGTCATTGCAGGCCTCCCTACCTCTGTGTCTACAGACCAGTCTCTCTTTCTCTCCCTCACACTGTCGGCTTATCTCCCCCTCTCCTTCTCTATCCCCTGCCAAGTGATTGCTCAACGTGTCTGGCCAGTGCAGTGCTGCGCCACCCTGCCGACCATGTTGAAGAGCAGGTGCCAACCGTCCACGTGCATGAAGGTGCAGCAGGGGACCGCCTCCCTCTGGCTCGCCGCCGTGCGCGCCCTCGCTCCCTCCCTCGAGCTTCGGGGATTTAAAGGTTCAAGGCTTTCCTCCTCCTCCTCCTCCTCCTCCTCCTCCTCCTCCTCCTCCTCCTCCTCCTCCTCCTCCTCCTCCTCCTCTCGGTAACAGCCGGCGGTTTTGGGCGGTTTCCCACCCTCCCTCCCCTCCTCCCCAACGTCGGGCCGGGAATACATCGGGAATTGCCAGTCGGGAATCTCTGAGACCTGGCGGCTCTGGAGGACGCATCGGGCGCCGCGGCCTTGTCACAGCGTTCTTCGGGAGCGGCCAAGAGGGGGGTGTCCAAGAGGGGGGGGTGCAAATCATGACCGGCGGCATGTGCGCGGCCCAGCGGGGGGGCCAGGGCACGTGTTGAAACAGGAAGAGGCGCCATGAGATCTGAGGAAATATCATGGCCCACGCCATGATGTCCACCCCCCCTGGTCATCACCCCCCTCTCTGCCGCCCCCGAGTTCTGGAAGGCTCCGAGGGCGCCCCAGAACGCTCCGGAACTGTTTACCCTGGTCGCAAGCCCGCCCGACACCGAGCGGCGGGCCCAAGCAAGCATCTCGCCGGGCCCCAGGCCGCTGCGCGGAGAGGGGGCGGCGGCATCCTGCCCAGGGAAGCGTCCTGGCACGACAAGTCGGTGTGCCCAGCGAAGGAATCCCGGCAGGCACGCTCGGGCTGCCCCAGGGAAGCGCACCCTGCAGGCACCTGCGGTCGGGCTGTCCAGGCGGGCGCGCGGGCAGGTGCCTTCGGGCTGCCCAGGGGGGCGACTGGCAGGCACTGGCAGGGCTGGCCAGAGGAGCGCTCTGAGGCGAGGGCCCTCCCACCTCCTTCTCCTCCTCCGCCTCCTCCTCTTCCTCCGCCTCCTCTTCCTCCTCCTCCTCCTCCTCCTCCTCCTCCTTCTCGGCTTCACGGTTTCACGACTGTGCCCCAAGACCAGGAGGAACAGAAAAGAACAACAGCGCAGAAAGCTATAGACACGAGGCCCTCTCTCCGCTATCCATGCCAATGGGATCGAACAAAATGTGTCGGCCCAGCGAAGGTAGAGGATGACAGCATGAGTGGATCACAAAAAATACGCAGCTTTCTGGACCCTCGTGTGTTGCCATATAACTGTGCCAAATGTGTGCTAGGACGCCACAGGCCAATAAGTCCCTGCTTACCCAGGGGGCCAAATGCAGCCCAGAATCGACCGGAAAATAGCGACCCACAGGAACAAAAGCTGGTGTTAATGATTCACAGCACACCCAGAGAGTTGATCCTCACGCACAGCCTCCAGTCTCTCCAGCTGCTGAGCTGAGAGAGGTTGGCCCACGCCGTCTCTGCCAAAACGGCGAACGTGTCAGTAGGTGCTTCCGTCATGGAGCGAGCG